CTCCTCATTCTGGGATTCTGCTTAATACTGAGGCTCTGAATAATCACCCTCTGGTGCCTTCTCTTTCTGGGGCTCTGCCGACTGCTGGGACTTCTCCTGAGCAACCTTTGTGAAGGCTCCCTCTTGTTTGTTTATTTTGATTCATGTATATGTACATATTTGTAACTTATCGGAGATATCAATAAACAAGTTTTGCTTCATTTCAACGTATTGTGTTAAATACAAGGCCTTCTTCACTAAGTTCTTTGAATTTTTCCTTTTGTTGAAGCTTGTATGTTGAAGCTTTGTGAGTGAAGCATGTAGGTTGAGGTAATGCTCCCTTAATTTCCCGAGTGAGGAAAACTTCTCGTTTGGAGACTTGAAAAATCTAAGTCACTGAGTGGTCGTGACACTTCCGAGTATCAAGGTGCAGTAGCATATGGTAGGAGTCCCCCAAGTCTTCGGTCGAGGGAGTTGACGAATGAGAAATTTTCGAATTTTTTAATTTGCGAATTTCCGAAAATTTTTATATATATATATATATATATATATATATATATATATATATTTTTTTTTAAAGCTTTGTAGGCGAAGCTTTGGTGTTGAAGCTTTGTAGGTGAAGCTTTGAGGTTGAAGCTTTGTTGGGCACCATAAATTGATTTTGCTTCACACTATCTTGATCAAGATAGTGTAGGTGAAGCTTTTGTGTTGAAGTTTTGTAGGTGAAGCTTTTGTGGGTCAAGCTTTTGTAGGTGAAGCTTTTGTGGGTCAAGCTTTTGTGGGTCAAGATTTTATGGGTGAAACTTTTGTGGGTGAAACTACAGCAAATAAATCGTACTATTTTTTAAACTGAACAAAAATAACTCACACTATTTCTGGAACTACAACAAAATAACTCACATTATTTCTACAATTTGACCCAAATAACCCACACTATTTCTAAACGGTAACAAAATAAAGATTATTTCTAAAACCACAACAAAATAACCAACACTATTTCTAAAAACGAACAAAAAAAAGCTAAGAAAAACTAATGAAAAGAGCTTCAATACTTTGAATTTTAACCAAAAATCATGTAATAACATTATTTAATGGTCAGTGCAAAATCCAATATCAAGCCAGCCCAATAAGACTAGCCCCAAAAATATAATATATCGAGCTTCCGATTTTACCTTTGACGTTAAGTCTTGTCCGTTGGTCCGTTTCACTTCAGATGGAGATAGAGAAGGTTTATAGATTCAAATCTTTTTGTTAATTTCATCACAATTCCAACACACGTATCGACAACCCCAACAACTCTAGAAAATGCAATCGAAATCCTGATGCATGTGAACAATAGATGCAGATAGGTTGGGGCTTTTCGTCCGTCTTCGCAATGTAAGTGTTTCCAGCGTTTGATAAATGTATTTGAATATGCAACTTGATTTGGTGTATTTTGGAAATTAGAGTTTATAAGTTTGGGAAATGTTGATTAGTGGATGTAATTTTTTGGTGGTGTTTGATAATTGCGGAGTTAATTAACTGTTTTAGATTGCGAATCTCAAAGTAGGTTTAAGCTATTAAGAGTTTGGTGCCGTAATCTGATACATGTATATGTTTTTGTTAGCTTGTGGCAGTTTATGTTTTTAGTCCAAATGGAAGAGTGTAGGTTTGCTGCATTTTGTGGTTCAGTTTGTGAAGTGGCAGTTTTTGGATGTAGGTAGCTGTGGTTGCTCAGACGGTAGCGAAAAGCCTTGTCAACATGCAGGTTGCTAAGGACTCAGAAGAATCTTCTAAGGACGAGGAACGGGATACTGAAAAGTAAAAGCCAAGATGGCACTGAGAACCAAGACGAGCATGAAAAGCCAAGAAATGTTGCTCTTGATAAAATAGAGAAAGCTAGAAATCATGTTGCAGGTACATATATTTTCATTTCTCAGCATTGGTGATTAATGATTATTCACTTGATTTATTTGCACATATGAAGATTTTTATCTTTCAATATACTTTTGGTTTTCCTGAACTTGCAAGTTGTTGCTAAGTGAAGGTAAAAAAATTTGAGTTATTATTCATACTATTTTGTTATAAGAAAAGTTGTTTGGTGTGGCCTTGTAACTCCTCTAAAATTGAATCATAATTATTTATGTACTTTGCACCCTGCAATCATTTCCTATAATAGGATGGTGAGGGAGAATGGATGGGGACCCAACCAGTTACAAAAGATGCTCACTTTGCACTCTGTTCAGTTTAAGAAGTAGTCAGTATTCAGTTTAAGAAATAGTGATAATACTCGTGTTTAGTTCTAGAAACAGTCAGTGTTCAGTTTACGAAATAGTGATAGTACCAGTATTCAGTTTAAGAAATAGTTAGTGCTCACTTTAATAAATAGTGATATTATTGTGTTTAGTTCTAGAAATAGTTAGTGGTCAGTTTACGAAATAGTGATAGTACTAGTGTTCAGTTTAAGAAATAGTCAATGTTCAATTCCAGAAATAATTTGTGTTCAATTTAAGAAATAGTGATAGGACTAGTTTTCAATTTACGAAATAGTGATAGTACCGGTGTTCAGTTTAAGAAATAGCCAATGCTCAATTAAGAAATAGTAATAGTATCGTGTTTATTTCTAGAAATAGTTAGCGGTCAGTTTACGAAATAGTGATAGTACCAGTGTTCAGTTTAAGAAATAGTCAGTGCTCACTTTAAGAAATAGTGATAGTATCATGTTTAGTTCTAGAAATATTTAGTAGTCAGTTTACGAAATAGTGACAGTACCAATGTTCAGTATAAGAAATAGTCAATGTTCAATTCTAGAAATAGTATGTGTTCAATTTAATAAATAATGATAGTACCAGTGTTGAGTTTACGAAATAGTGATAGTACCAGTGTTTAGTTTTAGAAATAGTCAGTGCCAACTTTAAGAAATAGTGATAGTCAGTGTTCATTTTCAATAAAATTTAGGCTGTTTTTTTTTTTTTTTTGGATAGAAAATAAAAAAGCTATATTAAAGAAAACCCCTAGGGCAATCCATTTGAGTACAATCGAAGAGAAAGGTTGGCAAGCAACAATCAGAATAGAACTTAGGGCATGTTTATCAAACCGAAATGGAATGGAAAGAAACGGAATCGTATTCCTCCCGAAGCATTCCAGTGTTTACTAACATGTAGGGAATGAAAAAATAAGTGGGACCCCTTTAAAATCCGGAATCAAATTCCTTAATCTTCTGGAATTCAATTACCTACATGGAGGTGGTAATTAAATTCCAAGAGGAAGCCTTCTTCTGGAATCAAACGTTTCTACCCAAAATACCCTTATACCTTCCACCAATAACACACCATCTCCTTCGTTTCTCCTCTGCCGACTCCTTACACCTTGACCACCACCACAACACGAACTTACACATACCAACAACAACGCCAAAATTGATTCGACCCATCCGCCGAGTTGACCATTCAATCTTGTCCGTTAGCCACCACAATGCCATCCACCACTGACCCATCTTGACCCACACACCGGCAACCCATTGTAGCACTTTCCCAACACAACCCACCAATAAGATCTGGTAACAATTCTATCTTGTATGTTGTGTATGATTTGGTGAAGACAAGGTCAAATTTGGTGGAATAGGGATTGGGCGTCAAGATTGCAGGGTGAATTAGGAAGTACGATGCGAATTGGTATTGGCGGAGGAGTTGCTTCGGCAGAAGAGCTGGTGAGATGCAGAGGAAACAAAGGGTTGGTATCGATAGAAAGAGTTTTTCTGTGGTGGTGGCGGCGGCAGAACGAGGGCTGGTATCGGTACAGAGAGAAACCTATGGCCCTTTTGTTCTGGCTGGCCCTGTTTTGGGGTGTTTCAATAAAAAATATGTATATGTGTGTGTGTGTGTGTATATATATATATATTACCTGGCACAAGGATGTTTCAGTAATCACATTAATTTTCATTCGGATTTATGTGAATTAGTAAACAGTTTATATCATTCATATTTTGATTCCATAAAGTTTTAGTAAACTGCTTTAATAAGAATCTGATTCTGATTCCACCTCATTCAAATTCATCCTTAATTCAATTTCTCCTCGATTCAATTCCCTTCCTTTTGATTACGAATTAGTAAATGCATCCTTAGAGGACTAAATGATGGAGCTACTTCTTGTGCTGATGACATAAGTAAACAAGTTCTACCGTTAACATTTAATCCATCTCTTTTTCAACACATATTTTGGATCGATGCCTTTACCTTAAATAAAACAACATCCGAACCAGGATTTTTCTTCTTGGCTCTCATCAATGCATTCTGATTGGAATTGAACAAGCCATTTCTTATCCCTTGCCCTTTTTCGTTCCATATACACATATTTTTCAAAGTTGCTAGAGGCTTTGGTTGTATCCAAAACGAAATGTAGCCTTTTTCTCACACGCACTTTGATTAAAAAATTAGCACAATGAAAACGCAAATCACCATTATCTATTCTAAAATTAAGGAGGAATTGACTGTTTATTCAGCTACAGTCAATTGTTTACCCCTTGATTTCATCTCATTTACAATAAAACCATGAGGTTTGGGCTGGGTTTGAAGGGTATTTATTAGAACTTAGAAGGGTAATTTTGTCTGGAGGATTTAGGACGGATTACCCCTTGATTTCACCTTATTTACAAGAAACCCATTAGATTTGGGTTGGGTTGGAAGGGCAATTTTGTCCTCTCGGTTTTGAGCAAATTCGGGGGTTGCCGTGTAGGTTTTCATTTGTTGTCCTTCAAAGAGGGTTTCGGGGGGATGGAGGCTTTGATAGAGAGGAAGAAAGAGAAAGAGAGAGGAAGGGAGACAGACAGAGATCGAGATAGATGGCGATGGAAAGAGAGCGAGGGGGATAGGTATGGGTGATGGATTTCAGAAGTGGGAGAGTGGGGATGGTCCAAGAAAACCATATGGATCGTCCGAATCTACCGCTGCATGCCTAGATTTCCAAAGATAAGTTTTTTTTTTAATTTGTTTTTTTACTGTCAGCTTAGATTGTCATCATTTCTGCTTTTTTGTTGTGGATTATTTTTTATTTTTTTAGTGTGTTAGGTCAGGTTTTGGGGGATTCATCAGAGATATTAATTTCCCTTACTTGTTTTGTTTTCTCTCATTTTGGACATTCATCTCTCTTGCTGTCTGTTTGTTCTCTGTTTTAAGGTTGGTTGCTTTTTTTTTTTGGGTTTTTTTTTTTGTGGCATTTTATTTATTCTTCCAGGTTATAGATCTGATGGTTTTTTGTATGCTAATCTTGGTTTTGTTTTTCCTGGAAATATTTTTTTATCTGATTGTGGGCTCGTGGGTTTTAATTTCTTTCATTTGTTTCAGGTTGCAAAGCAGGAGGTTCTGACCTGAGGGTTCAATTCAAGGTAATGTTATTATTATTTTTAGTTCTTATAGTTTAATGTTTCAAACTGATGTGGTGATTTGGTTGTGAAATGTAGGATTTTTGTTCGGCTTCTGTTGCCTATGTGATGTTCTCTGTTATTATTGCTGGGTAGAGATTCCATATATTCTATGTCTCTAGAAAACACCTCTTTAGTTCTACGAGAGCAACTAAATAACACATTTTTCCTGAATCCCATAAGCCTGCAAGAAGCAAAACAAGCTAAGAGTCATTTATACAATATAAACACATGAACTCTGTTTGAATTCTTACTCTTATTCTCTTAATTTTTTGGTTGTTTAGTTTGGACTCCCATCATAGTGTCATCATTTTGGTATGCATATGTGGTTCTTGGTTGAAGAACAAAAGGTACTGTTTGTGATAAAACTTGAAATTTGGGTAAGAAGAGGTTAGCCCAAAAGAAAGCCCAAAAGGAGGTTCAGAATAAGGAAAAGTCCAAGGCCCAGCCGAAGTCCAGAAGTAGAAAGGGCTTGTTTCCCAACCAAGTGCAGATCATTCAAACTACCTGCTCACCTACCTAGGGGTCAAGTGGTGTAGACCAGCCAGCTAATCAGCTCAAAAGTACTTTACAATGGCAGTACAAGTAAAAAGTTGATGAGTCATTGCCCTTCAGATGCATTCGGGCAAAATCAACACTGCAGACAGCCAAGCCAAATCGTCTATAAAATGAGGAAAAAAAATCAGAGACAATGACACTCAATCAAACAAACAAATACAAGCACAAACTCTGCTCAAGCCAGATTTACCTTCACGAAGTTGTAGTCAGCCCTCAATCTTCATCCCTTTCGGGATCAATCTTTACCAGAAATCCTTTGTAAAAACTCTGCTACCTTGTTTAAATCTTGTTGTAGTATCGATCACCTTATATAGATTCATCTTCCAATCTCCCTTTCTAGCATTCGAACACTCTGTAAATCACAAAGAGAGGAAGTTGCAAGACGATCAGCCTTGCCCGACAAAGTGAAACCTTGCCCGACCTCTTTTGTTGTTGTCTTTCATTCATAGATCTAATACTATGATGTATGTTTTCATCTGCATCCAATTTATTGCTAGCCAGTTTATGATTAAAAGACTTCTAAGTTCTAATCATTCTGGCATACAAGATTGACCAATTAAAAGTCCTTGGTCTCAAGGCATAAAAAGAACTTTATGTGGACTTAACCCATCCACAACAATCTTTGATCACCAGAAGTCCGAAGTTACTTGAGGCGCAAGTAATTGGCTTATTCTCTAGTTTTACTTCTGTTATATCATAATTCCCACAGAACGCTTGAGTATAGAATTAACTCTGATAAGAAGCCTCAAGGCCTATACCTAAGGCCCGATATAGGTACCTATTTGATTTTATTCTGCTCTGCCGGCTCGGGTAATTAACGTATAACGGGAGTGATACGTACGCAATAATGAAACAACCAAGATGTGTTCAAGTATTCGGTTAGTTTTGATGGGAAGCCTCAAGGCCTAAACCTAAGGCCCCACAAAGACACCTTTCATAACTAACTGGGTCGCTCGGGCATATATATATATACACCATAAAACTTAATATCGGTTTTACATCTGTCATGCTAAAGATGATAGTGGTACGCCTGGATTCTTAAGGTTAATTTTGATTGTGAACCTCAAGGCCTACACCTAAGGCCCCACAAAGGCACCTTTCAGAATTAACTTTATCCTTCTCTTATAGCCCACCAATAAGCAGAAGCCCGACAGACGATATCAATCGGCGCCAACCTCTCGGGGAGCTGTGTGCTCGTTAGCCAGGGAACATCCTCACTGGATATTCCTTTATACCGAACATAGTTTTGGCACGCCCAGCGGGACGCGGTTGTGTTAATCTTGTATGTCAAAGAAGAAAAGCCATAAACCTTGCAGAAAAAGTACAAAGGACAATTCATCTCAACCTTTGCTACAAATGACAGAGCAATCAGGAAATTCTTCTTCTCCATCAGGACAGGTGGTCCTGGAAAGCCCAACTTCATCTGGAAGAGCTGAAGGAAAAGGAACTAATGAAGAATTGCAGGCTACTATGATACAAGTGTTGAAGAGCATGGAAAAAATCTCTTTGGAAAATAAGGACCTTAACAAGGAATCTACAAAGAAGACTATATCTGGAGTTTTCTACTCCAAAAGGTGCTCAAGGAAGTGGGATGAGCCAGGTTACCATCAAAAGTGAACCAGTTATTCCCCTGTTTCCGTTATTGGAAGAAAAACAAGATAAGGGAAAGGAAAAAGAAGTACCTAAAGGAAGCAAGCCCGTGATTGAACTGGTTCTAGAAAAAAATTCCCCAGTTTTCCATTATTATCATTTAATAATAGAAAGCAGAATGAACAAGAAAGGACGAGGTATGGGATGACCATAATAACCGAAGAACTCAGCGGAAAAGAAGGCTTTGTCACCTCAGATAAGCCTCTTTCTTATAGGCCAACTCATTTGGCTTATAAGGGATGAGGAGCTAACTGGAGAAAGCCCGAGTCAAAAAATGGAGCAGGAACGGGAAATGACCAAAGCCCAAAGAATGAAGCTGCTCTTATCTTCCATAATAATAATACAGCTACTCAACAACTCAAGGAAGAGTTGGCTGAGTTGAGGAGGATAGTGGCTCATAATGGTCAACCACAAGCTCGTCCTATATTCAGGGTTACCTATCAAAAACCTTATCCTGAATATATCAACTTCAAAATGCTTGCATTCCCCATATTCACGAGTGAAGATGGAAATGTGTCCTCTAGAGATCATATTTTCAAATTCTCCAATCATTATGTGGAATATGAGGACAACCCAAACTACAAATTGAGGTTGTTTGGAAATTCATTGGCGAGGTTAACATCTCAGTGGTACTCTCTATTGTCCCCTAACTCTATTGCCAACTGGAGGCAGATGGAGATAGCCTTCCATGAACAGTTTTACAGAATAGAACCTGAAATGACTATCAATGACCTGGTTGAAGTCAAGCAATATGACCATGAGACCACAGAAGATTTCATGATGAGGTTCAAAAAGACAAGAATGAGATACCAATTCCCTGTCAACCAAGCTCAGCTTATATCAATTGCTCAGAGGGCCTTAAGATTACCTCTAAGGAAAAGGCTCTATGATACACAATTCAATGAGTTGCAGGAGTTGGTAATCGTCGCCACAAAGTATGAGAGGTTGGTGCTAAAAGAACAACAAGTGAAGCACAATTCCAAGACTCCTCCCTTTTACAAAAACAAAGCTGCAATTCATCGTGTGGAAGTGGAAAAAGCAGAACCAGAACATGAAGATGGCTATGATAGGGAGGAAATTGATGTTTGTGCTGCTGAGATGACCACGCCTTTCAAACCATTAATGGTGAAAGGGTTGGTTCAACCCATCAAAAATCAGAAAATCGTGATGAATGATGGAGGGTTTGTTCCTATGAAACCTCCCAAGTACCAGAGTTATTCCTTTGACTTGGCCAAAGCTTCTGAGATCTACGAAGAGTTGGTACGGGCAAGAATAATTTTGCTTGACAGCACTAAGAAGATGCCTAAGCCAGAAGAATTAAGAGGCAAGAAGTATTGCAAGTTGCATTATACCTTCAACCATTCTATAACCAATTGTGTCCAGTTCAGAGATTGGATACAAGACCTTATAGTAAAGGGCAAGCTGTTGCTTGACAAGCCTCAAACTAGTATGCTAGTTGATACAAACCCGTTCCCGGACGCCCCTATCAATACGATCAACCTAGTTTGGGTAGGAAAGCTGGGATTATCATTTGTTAAGAAAGAAGAGGGAAATAGATCCCATGTTTCTCCAACACTTCCATGTCAGTAATATCAGAAGGAGGACCAATTGATCAAGATTAGGTCTTGAGATTGGTATTGGTAAGGGAAGTAGAAAAGAAACAGAAAAGAAAATAAAAGGGGAGCGGGGAGTTGCCTGAAGATATAACATGGGATTTACAATGCAAATGGGGCCATAAGCAAGACAAGCAAAGGCAAAACACATGTTCATAAAAGAAGAATTACAAGTGTTTCTAGTCTAACAAGTTTACATCTTTACTCAGAGTAATTATTCGAGAATGATAAGTCTGCATGATTGTAAAAATTCTACCAGGTTCGGCTAAAACAGTGTTGCTATTAGCAAGTTGAGATCTAGTATGTTCGAGCTCTATATTTGACTTCTTCACTTCTTCAATCTGATGTTTAAGGGTGCCAAGAAGGGTTGCTTGCTCAGCCTTAAGAACGCTAAGTTGTTCTTCCAACTTCTGGATTTCAGAAGTTACCAGGCCAATTCTTTCTTTTGTCAGCAAGCCTTCATCCATTAACTGCTTGACCTGTGCAGAAGATTTTGATTCCTTCTCCTTGAAGCATTTTACATGATTGGCTTGTCTTTCAGCTCTCTGATGTTGATCCCTGAGAGCCCTCAAGTTCTCAAAGAAAGAGAAAAAGGAATCATGTTGAGTTTTGGATAACCGGCCAGCCTTGAAAAACTCTATCGTAACCTTCTCTATAGCATGAAGAGCCTTAAGGTTGAATGAAGCTGAGAAGTCTTTCTTCACCTAATCTTGGAAAGCTCGACGTTGTTCTTGAAAGCCAGAAGGTTCAGAAGAACGCTTTGAAGATTTCAGCCTTGTTTCAAGTTGCCCGAATTCTTCAAAAAGTTCAGGCAAATCAGCAGTTGTTGAAAATAAAGGGGGATGGGTTCGTACTCCAGTATCTTCTAAGGGAGTAGTAACTGCTAATGAGGCGACTTCAGTCCCGGTCCTCTCAATTCCAGGAAGGGGAATCCCTGTATTTCCAGAAATTGAAGAAGGTCAGGGAAACTCCGTTTTATACACCACACGTAGGGGAGACTTGCCCGAAGCTTCTCCTATGGCCTGCTGCAAGAACCAAAGAAGACTAGATTAAGGCAAGAAAAATAGTTAAACAGTTTAAAGCAGAAATGAACTCTGGGAAGAAGCAATATGCCTGAATGGGCCCTGGGGTTTTAAAAGAAAGAGTATCAGCTTCTGTTTGAGGGGGAGAATCACTATCACCAACAGGGGAAGAAAAAGCTGTGCCCGAACCTTCACCCATGACCTAAGAGCATCCAGGAATTATAGCAATTATTAATAAATAGGTATGAGAATAGAACAGAAAGAAAATATATCCATACCTGAGTAAGGGGAGAAGAAGAAGGTTCATCGGTGGTATCTATTAGGCAAGGTGACACTTGCAAAATAGCTACCCTTGGGGTCACAGGGATTTCAGGGACTACGGGTTCTTTAAGTGTTACCATTGGTGGTTGTCGTGCTTCATGTATTAGAGATGGCTGGAGGAATTGTAAATGGAAATTTAGTATGGGCAAAGTGTATGGAAATTCAATGTTCAAATAACTGCTCACCAAATTGTTGTCTTCATTTATAAAATGCAACATAACTCCTGTTGCTGGATCAAATTGAGAAGATGGAGTTACATCCAGAGCAGAAGGAGAAATATAAGACTTTGGAGGGGAACCTTGGCTAGGCAAGGGGGCAGATACACCAGCCTGGATAAAAAAGGAAGAAAGAAGTTCGGTCATTTGTTTCAGAGACCTCAAGCAGAAGAATCTTTTATTCACTTACGGCCTGATCAAGCAAATACCTCACTCTCCTTGAGGATGGCCTTCTGTAGATCTTTAACTTTTTGGTGCATTTCAATTCCCAGTGGATCCTTCCTAGGTGTGATAGTTGGTTTTTCAGAAATATGAGGCCCTAATTTCAAAGAGAGAAGTATGGAGATAATCAGATAAGCAAGAGGGTAGTCTAATTGAAGAAAAGTAAAAAACTTACTTGAAGACTTCTACTTTGTTATGCATGCCTTAGAAACTGGAGCTGAGGAAGCTGAAGACTTAGAAGCTTGAACAGTCCTTGCTCTCTTACTTCTTCTGGTGGAAGTTGGCCGTTTAGGTTTGTGTGGTGATATAGGTTTGGATTCTGAGGTTTCGACCACAACTACTTTTCTCACTTAGACGCTTTGATGTTTGCTTCGGGTACTTCTTCAGCATCTGAATCTCCAAATGATTTTGAAACATCTCCGCCTACTCCAGCTTCTCGCCTTTGAGCTTCTACTGTAGCTCCATGAAGAACTACTGCATCAGCTAAATCCTCTTCTGATTCGATGGATGCCGTTTCAACATTTACTTGAGCTACAGGATCAAGGAAAATAAGACCAAATAACTTTAACCTCAAAGGAAGGCATGATCAGGACAGGGAGAGAAATACCTATCAGAAGTAACCGGTTCTTCTGCTGAATCATTTCCTTCCAGTTTTCAAGCTCACACGAACTTGGGTATGACTTAAGAGAAAGTTGACAAAAGAGAAGGTCGTGAGTTTCTCGCAAATCTCGTCCATATTTCTTGGTCCATTTGGCTTCCCACCAGGTGGAGAAGAGTGAAGTACATTCGAAGTTCAGAACTATGGACTTTCGGCCAGCCTGATTCATAACTTCAAGACTTCGTCGGGCAGCTCGAAAGGTCACTTCTGAAAGGGATGGTAACCGGAAAGAAGTACCACAATGGACAGAGTAAAAAAAAAGGATAGGAATGGCTTGCCTAAAGCCTAATTGCCTGCTACAAAAATTAGGGTGATACACTTCCAATCCTCGATCATAACGGTTACCATGAACTCCCCAGGCTATGTCTCTTTGTTGAATACAACTGATGAATTTCTCCCTGCAAAATGAGGTGGCATCTTCACCGAGAGCATCTTGGAATGCTTGATCAGAGAACCAGGGATATCTCCTTAAAACTGAAGCGCCCCACTCTAGGTATGATCGGGTTAGGCAAATCTTGAAGAAATAAAAACAGGCAAAAGTAGAGTGATCTGTGGGAATAGCTTCAGCTAGGATTCGGGCAGGAGCTACACCTTCTGACAATTCTAAATTCCTGGCCTGAAATTCTGGGAAATACCATTGGAGCCATATTTGGATCATCCATATGGGTCCGTTCAGATTAGTTTCAAATGGTTTACCTTGAGTCATTTCAAAAAGGAGATGATAAAGATGAGAAAGAAGAAATGGACATGTGGCTACATCATCAAAGTTATGAAGGGCTTCTACTAAGGGGATCCATTCAACCTTCACCCCTTTAGATTTATTTAGGAAGACATGCTTGTTAAGCCAGTATAGGAAGAAATACATATGTTCCTGGTCTTTGTTTGTAGAAGATGAATTAGCACCAAAATTCTTCTTGACAAAAGGGATAAATCCCTTGAAGGAAGTCCCGTAACTCTTAAAGGTTGCAGAGTTATATTCCAATTGAAGAAAAGAGGCAGAGGAACTAGAGCTTTCAGCGATTGAAGAAGAAGAGGAAACTCAGTCTTGGGTGACATCTACAATCCTGCCCGATGGTCTTAGCCTGGAAACTTAGGCCATATCTAGAATAGTCAGAGACATGGGACCCATGCGAAAATCAAAAGTATTCGTGCCCGAATTCCAGAAAAAAAGATAAGTAGCAAGCAGTTCGGGCTTGGGAACAATGGTAGTTTTTGAAAGCATTAGTAGTTCGTAAATACCATTGTTCATCCACTTTTTCTTGAAAATTGGCTCTAGTTCATCAATCCACTGAGTCCAAGAGGGGTCGTTCATTAGGGGAAAGCCACGACGGTATGATGACCACTTAACTGAAGAGATGCCCGACTTAGCCAAGAAAGGGTTAGGGGTAAACTAGTTACTCCTAGGCATATTATTCTCTATCACAGCAGGGATGTGAGAAATCCATGCAGAACCCAATGATTGTACCCCATGAGCTTCAAAGAAAAGTTCAAAACACAAACCTGCCTGAGGGCAATGCAATCCGTTGAATAAACGGCGTAAAGTAGTGATGCCTTCACCTGATTCATATGATAGCTGGGCTTGGCCGGATCCTGAAGCCATTTAATAAGTTCAAAAGAAATGTGATGAGAAGATGACAAGGGTAGAAGCTATGAAACAAAGAGCCAACGGGAGTTTGAAGTCTGAAAAGAAATAGAGTATCTGGACGAAGGGATACAAGTTTCGAGAGCAAGTATACAGGCATGCGACTATTCAATCAATATTGGCGCCTGGAATTCCAGCTGAATATTAATTGAAGGGGGCACTATTTGGGATAAAATTTGAACTTTGGATTAAGAAGATGTTAGCCCAAAAGAAAGCCCAAAAAGAGGTTCAGAAGAAGGAAAAGTCCAAGGCCTAACCGAAGTCCAGAAGCAAGAAGGGGATTGTTTCCCGACCAAGTGTAGATCATTCAAACTACCTGCTTACCTACCTAGGGGTCAAGTGGTGTAGACCAGCCAGCTAATCAGCTCAAAAGTACTTTACAATGGCAGTACAAGTAAAAAGTTGATGAGTCATTGCCCTTCAGATGCATTCGGGCAAAATCAACATTGCAGACAGCCAAGCTAAATCGTCTATAAAAAGAGGAAGAAAAATCAGAGACAATGACACTCAATCAAATAAACAAATACAAGCACAAACTCTGCTCAAGCCAGATTTGCCTTCACGAAGCTGTAGTCAGCCCCCAATCTTCATCCCTTTCAGGATCAACCTTTACCAGAGATCCTTTGTAAAAGCTCTGCTACCTTGTTTAAATCTTGTTGTAGTATCGATCACCTCATATAGATCCCTTTCTAGCATTCGAACACTTTGTAAATCACAAAGAGAGGAATGTACAAGATGATCAGCCTTGCCCGACCTCCTTTGTTGTTTTCTTTCATTCATAGATCTAGTACTATGATGTATGTTTTCATCTGCATCCAAGTTATTGCTAGCTAGTTTATGAGTAAAAGACTTCTAAGTTCTAATCATTCGGGCATACAAGATTGACCAATTAAAAGTCCTTGGTCTCAAGGCATAAAAATAACTTTATGTGGACTTAACCCATCCACAACAATCTTTGATCACCAGAAGTCCGAAGTTACTTGAGGCGCAAGTAATTGGCTTATTCTCTAGTTTTACTTCTGTTATATCATAATTCCCACATAACGCTTGAGTATAGAATTAACTCTGATAAGAAGCCTCAAGGCCTATACCTAAGGCCCGATAAAGGCACCTATTTGATTCATTCTGCTTCGCCGGCTCGGGTAATTAACGTATAACGGGAGTGATACGTACGCAATAATGAAACAACCAAAATGTGTTCAAGTATTCGGTTAGTTTTGATGGGAAGCCTCAAGGCCTACACCTAAGGCCCCATAAAGGCACCTTTCATAACTAACTGGGTCGCTCGGGCATATATATATATATATATATATACACCATAAAACTTAACATCGGTTTTACATCTGTCATGCTAAAGATGATGGTGGCACGCCTGGATTCTTAAGGTTAATTTTGATTGTGAGCCTCAAGGCCTACACCTAAGGCCCCACAAAGGCACCTTTCAGAATTAACTATGTCTTTCTCTTACAGCCCGCCAATAAGCAGAAGCCCGACAAACAATATCAACCGGCGCCAACCTCTCGAGGAGCTGTGTGCTCGTTGGCCAGGGAACGTCCTTACTGGATATTCCTTTATACCGAACATGTACCTTTATTTTGAAATTTCAATTTAGTTGATGTCTGTGTCTGTGTCTGGTTGCTCTTTAGGGAGTGAGTGAGGGCACACAGTAAGCAATCATGGGACACACTCCATGCTGTTTTAGGAGAAATGAGAAAAGGGTTTTATTTTCTTTGCCAATCTCTGTAAAAGCTCTCAACTTTATTAATTTTCCTACACTTTGTAGGTCTGAGGTGGTGTGGGAAGAGCTGCCATTTGCGGTGGCTAAACTATCTGAGGCCAGACATCAAACATGGAAGCTTCACTGAAGAGGAAGACATCACTATCTGCAGCCTCTACAACCAGATGGGAAGCCGACAAGTAAACAAATTTAAATGGTTATTTTTTTTAATTTCTTAATTTATAATCTGCAACATTTAATTCCTTTACATGATTTTGTCTAGAATTTGTTTAAAGATTTAAAATTTCTCTTCACTCTGTTAATGGGTTTGATTTTTCCTCATCTGTTTTATAGTTTAAGTCTACTGAGTTATGCGGATTCACTCAAATGCAATCATCTCTTCTGCAAGTAATCTCTACCTTCATTGCCAGATGTATTAATACTTGGAAAGTGGTTGATCATTTTGCCATCTGTTTTGCAGTTGGATGTATTAAAACTTGGAATGTGTTTGATCATATTGCCAGTGTTTGCTTATTTTTTACAGCATTTGCACTGTGAAGTCGATGAAATCGGGTTCCTTTTGTCCAGTTTATAAAATTCCATATCGGCGCAGAGGTATGAATCATGCTAATTTTATGTTTGTGCTGAGCTGTTAGAGGAGAGGTACATCCATTCTCTTGTTTAAGATCAAAACTATTTATGAGTCATATTTATAAGCAAGTGTTTATATTCCGAGGTGGTATGTTGACTAAGCTTTTCAGTTAGAAGGTGGAGGTGTCTTTGAGGTTTAATACAATACATAAGTGGATTCTTTAATGTTAGATTAGATTTTCAAATTTTTTAGTACGTTAGGTCCGATTTTGGGGGATTCATCCCTCTCTTTATTCCCTTATTTGTTTCATTTTCTCTTATTTTGGGGATTCACTCTCTGTTCTTCTGTTTGTTCTTTGTTTTAAGGTCAGTTGCTTTTTTTTTGGGGTTTTTTTTGTGGGTTTTCAGTTCGTTAATTTGTTTAGTTGTTGTTAATTTTAAAGTGTAATTGTTTCCCCTAATTTGAATTGTTAAGTTTTGGACCTTTTTTTATCCCCAAATCCACATTGACTGAGCTTTAGTGCTTAAAGGACACCTGGGTTTTATTCTGTGCTGGAGTTTATAATGTATTTAGATTGGGAACACAATCTTTGTTGAATTCTAAGTTTTTTTATCCACTTTTGCTTTTTTCCCCTTCAATGGTTTCAATTAATTGTTGTTTTAGTATAACTATTGCTCTATAAGCTGCGAAATTAGGTGTAAGAAAATCTTTTGTATACTTATATGGAATTATTGAATTCCATAGAAGCTAAGGATATGTATAATTGTATTATGGGCTTTTGGATCTATTGGCTTTTCTGTTTTGATCAAAATTGTTGATTTCTTTTGTGGAATTGGGTTTTAGCCTCGAATCGGAGACGTGGGTGCTTGAGAACGTTTAATTTTTACATGCATTGTAAAGTGTTTGTAATTGTAAACATGTTTGAATCTTATAGTTTCTTTTTTTTTCTTTTTTTGTTTGCATTTTTTAGGCAAGCAAAATGATGTAAATTGGCGATTTACAGTGGCTTTGAAAGGGTGACTTGCTCTTATAAAAGTCCTAGGACACAAACTGCTTTGGAGCTAGAAGCACTCAGGTAGCCAGAACAGCGGCCTTTCTTTCCCTTGTTGGAAAATAGGTGCTTTCAAGGTGAGCCGCAATACAATAATTTCAAGTAATGGGTTTGTGTTACTGTGCAGATCTGCCGAACTTCGCATTTAGTTTCTTGGAATTGTTATTTTTTTTTTCAATTATATATTTTAGTGCTTTTATGTTTGTCGTTCAGTGCTGGAAAATTGGAAAGCTCTAGAAACAATATAGTTCTTGAGCTAATGTGAAGATTTTGGGTTGAATACTTTGATTCTGTTTTCCTATTTGCACTTAGAAAAACAGAGGATTGTGGTTAATTATTGTGTTGTGAAGCTTCTATTTTTTCTTTTCTATGAATATTATTCATGGTTTGAAAACCCGCAGCAAAGCGCAGGCATTCTTGCTAGTTGTATCTAAAAATCAAGAAGTCCCCGCATTCCACATAATGGTCTCTCACAAATGCGTAATGGTCTCTCACAAATGCTGACCACCCATGATGCAAGAACAAACCAACATTCTATTGAATCAATTCAACACTCCACGCACTGCAGCTAAGGTCGAACAACAAAACTAACCCAGATGTTCTGCCTTCCATGTGTCTCATGAATCTTTCTGGGATTTTCAGTCTTTTAAAGCTCAAATCAACAGAATAAACCCATATACAGCTCATAAAGATATCCATATCTAATAACAAATATAAATATAAACCACAACGCAGTGCATCAACTCATCTGTAAATGAACAAACAAAAAAAACCATAAAATTTTCAAGAACATTTAGCAAACTACCATCTAACAAATAGAATGACAAGGGATTTAATTAAATATGTTGATGCACAAAATCAGTGGGAACTTTGGTACAACAGAAAATGTTAAGTTTGTGACCTTCGCTAGATTGCTCCGGTCACTAGTGTGGATAAGTATGTAAATGGATAGAGACAGGAAAGCAAACACAAGATGTACGTAGTTCACCCAGATTGGCTACGTCCACGGAGTAGAGGAGTTCTCATTAATTGTGAAGGGTTTACACAAGTACGTAGGTTCAAGATCTCCTTTAGTGAGTATAAGTGAATGATTTAGTACGAATGACATTAGGAAATATTATGAGAGAATGATCTCTATTTATAGAAGAGAGTTTCTAGTTTCATTCTGACATTGACACGTGTCGTGTTGTGATTGGCTTCTGATGTTGACACGTGTCGCGTTATGATTGGCTTCTGATGTCGACACGTGTCGCGTTATGATTGACGTCTGATGTCGACACGTGTCGCGCTGTGATTGGCCTCCTGGTTTGAGGGAAACTCTTCTGGGTCCTTGACGTTATAACGTTGACCGGTGCTCAGTAGTTTCAGGATTGGTCAAGTATTGTATAAACAGTGCTACCCCTAAGTTCCCGAGTGAGGGAAGCTTCTCGGTTAAGGACTTGTAAGATCCAAGCCATTGAGTAATCACGGAACTTCTAAGTACCGAAGTGTGGTATCATTTTCACTTGCCTTATTTGTCTCATATGTAGATGTGACAAAGTAGTAGATGTATCAGCACGTGTTCTGTTACGCTTGTCTCCACATGCTTCATTGTATCCTTCTCACTTGCCCTATATGTTCCTCAGGCAGACAGGGTATCTTCTCTGGAAGCATAAGATGTTGAAGATGAGTACTCGAGAGCAATGCCAGGTAAGTAGTCAGGCAAGGGGTTCCAGGCAATTAGTTCCTGACTGGAAGCTTGATTCCAAGTGCTGACTGATTGCTCTCTTTCTCTTCATCTTGCAGGTAAGAACAAGGCCAAAGGAAAAGACAGGGAAAAAACATAATATGGGATACTCTTGCATTTAACCCTGATGATATCAGATACTCTTGCTCTGGTGTGGCTTGTTTGCAGAGTTATTATCGGAGGGAAAAGAAGTTGAGTATTTCGAGAGACTCTGCTGAGAGTGTCATCTCGGATGTGAAGAAAAGTTGAGCATTTTTTTTATTTGCAGGTTTGCCTGGCTATGGAGGATGAAGGTCGACATATATAAGAATTGTCCCAACAGCGAGTGGTAATGCTGTTCCTTTACACTTCTCGGTCATAGCAATGTAATAGGAGCTGCAAGATTCACGTGTTTTAACTTTGTTAGAGCACTTTGAAAAAATGGTATGTGGTATTTGGATAGCTGATGTTGCGTGTGAAGATTGCAGACAAGCATTATCCAAGGAAATCTAGCTCTCGAAGTTCGGAGAGTGGTGCCTCTTCTGTTTTCGAACAAGCAATCCTGTCGGGGATCTGGCTTTTGAGATTCGGAGAACGGTGCCTATTCAATTTTTGAGAAAGCAACATGTTGGGAGTCTGGCTCTTGAGATTCGGACAGCGGTGCCTCTTCGATTTTTGAGCAAGTAATCCTGTTGGGAGTCTGGCTCTCGAGATTCGGACGGTGGTGCCTCTTCAATTTTTGAGCAAGTAATCCTGTTGGGAGTCTGGCTCTCGAGATTCGAAAGGCAGTGTCTCTTCAATTTTTTAGCAAGTAATCCTGTTGGGAGTCTGGCTCTCAAGATTCGGATAGCGGTGCCTCTTCGATTTTTAAGAAAGCAACCTGGTGGGAGTTTGGCTCTTGAGATTCGGGGAGCGGTGCCTCTTCGATTTCCTGGTGGGAGTTTGGCTCCTGAGATTCGGGGAGTGGTGCCACTTCGATTTTTAAGCAAGTAATCTTATTAGGAGTGTTTTCTCAATATGAGTAAAGGTTGGGCATTTTTGCCAGTCTGCCTTACCATGGAGCACGGAAGTTGACACACACAGGGACTTTCCAGTTATCAAGCAGTGGTGCTGTTTCTTTACCCTTGTGGGTAATGGTAGGGTAACTGAACCTTCAAAATTTATGTGTCTAAACTTTGTCACAGATCTTTAGCAAAGTTATCTATGATACCCGAGGAGCTGCTGTTGCGTGTGGAAAGTGGTGCCTCTTCGAAATCCAGAGAGTGGTGCCTCTTCGATTTTTGAACCAACGGCCTTGTTGTCCTTTCTTTTATAAGGGCACCAATTATGTGCAAGAAGTACATTCAGAGAGTTATTGCTTGTAGGAATTTTCCCCTTACTTCAGAGATTTATTACACCTCATTTCTCCTTCATCATTTCTGAGAATGTCCGGCCCATCCGACCGTCGTTTTGACTTGAACTTTGATGAAGAGGCAGCCATGCCTTCTCAAGACAACATATGGTGCCCATCTTTCTTATCCCTTACTGGTCCTCTTATCGTTGGGGACTCTGTGATGAAGAATGATATGACCACTGCGGTGGTGGTTAAGAACCTTCTCACTCCCAAAGATAACAGATTACTTTCCAAACTTTCTGATGAGTTGGCTGTTAAGGATTCTCTGGCTCTTAGTGTTCAGTGTGCAGGTTCTGTGTCTAATATGGCCCAACGCCTATTTGCTCGAACCCGCCAAGTTGAATCATTGGCCGCTAAAGTGATAAGTCTCAAACAGGAGATCAGAGGGCTCAAGCATGAGAATAAACAGTTGCACATGCTCGCATATGACTATGCTACAAACATGAAGAGGAAGCTCGATCAGCTGTAGGAATTTGATGGTCAGATTTTACTTGATCATCAGAGGTTTGTGTGTTTGTTCCAAAGGCATTTATTGCCTTCGTCTTCTGGGGCTGTACCGCATAATGAAGCTCCAAATGATCAACCTTCGGTGCCTCCTCCTTCTGGGGTTCTGCCTAGTACTGAGGCTTCGAATAATCATCCTCTGGTGCCTCATCTTTCTGGGGCTCTGCCGACTGCTAAGACTTCTCTTGAGAAACCTTTGTGAAGACTCCCTCTTGTTTGTTTATTTTGATTCATGTATATGTACATATTTGTAACTTATCGGAGATATCAATAAACAAGCTTTGCTTCATTTTAACGTATTGTGTTAAATACACCAAGGTCTTCTTCACTAAGTTCTTTGAATTTTTCCTTTTGTTAAAGCTTGTATGTTGAAGCTTAGTGAGTGAAGCATGTAGGTTGAGGTAATGCTCCCTTAATTTCCCGAGTGAGGAAAACTTCTCGGTTTGAGACTTGAAAAATCTAAGTCACTGAGTGATCGTGAGACTTCTAAGTATCAAGGTGCAGTAGCATATGGTAGGAGTCCTCCAAGTCTTCGGTCGAAGGAGTTGACGAATGAGGCATTTCCTTTCTAAATGGTAGCCCAAAACTCCTCCTTCATACATATTTGTTATGAAAGTTGTTAGGCCCAAAGAAGAGAAGGCCTAGGCAATTTTTTTTTTTTTTCGAAATTTGAAAATTTCAAATTTTTGAATTTTGAATTTCCGAAAATATACATACATACATATATATATACATATATATATATATATATATATATATATTAAGCTTTGTAGGTGAAACTTTGGTGTTGAAGCTTTGTAGGTGAAGTTTTGAGGTTGAAGCTTTGTTGGACACCATGAATTGATTTTGCTTCACACTATCTTGATCAAGATAGTGCGAAGCTTTTGTAGGTGAAGCTTTTGTGTTGAAGCTTTGTAGGTGAAGCTTTTATAGGTGAAGCTTTTATGGGTGAAGTTTTTGTAGGTGAAGCTTTTATGGGTCAAGCTTTTATGGGTTAAGCTTTTGTGGGTGAAGCTTTCGTAGGTCAAGCTTTTGTGGGTCAAGCTTTTGTGGGTCAAGCTTTTGTGGGTCAAGCTTTTGTGTTGAAGTTTTTGTGGGTGAAGCTTTTGTGTTGAAGCTTTTGTAGGTCAAGCTTTTGTAGGTCAAGCTTTTATGGGTGAAGCTTTTGTGTTGAAGCTTTTATAGGTAAAGCTTTTGTGGGGTAAAGCTTTTGTGTTGAAGCTTTTGTAGGTGAAGCTTTGGAGTTGAAGCTTTGTAGGTGAAGCTTTGGAGTTGAAGCTTTGTAGGTGAAGCTTTGGAGTTGAAGCTTTTGTTGGGTGCCATGAATTGATTTTGCTTCACACTATCTTGATCAAGATAGTGTGAAGCTTTTGAGAATTTGTAGTTGTCCTCCATTGATGAAGCTTTTGTTGGTGAAGCTTTTGTGTTAAAGCTTTTGTGGGTGAAGCTTTTGTGTTGAAGCTTTTGTGGGTAAAGCTTTTGTGTTGAAGCTTTTGTTGGGTACCATGAATTGATTTTGCTTCACACTATCTTGATCAAGATAGTGTGAAGCTTTTGAGAATTTGTAGTTGTCCTCCATTGATGAAGCTTTTGTTGGCACCATAAATTAGTTTTGCTTCACACTATCTTGATCAAGAGTGTGTGAAGCTTTTGAGAGTTGTGGTTGCCCTCTATTGATGAAGCTCTTGTTGGCACCATAAATTGGTTTTGCTTCACACTGTCTTGATCAAGAGTGTGTGAAGCTTTTGAGAATTGTGGTTGCCCTCCATTGATGAAGCTCTTGTTGGCACCATAAATTGGTTTTGTTTCACACT